TCGCTGTGCTTGCGTGCCCAGGATCCCGAAAGGAGAATGGAGGAGAAGGGATTGCAGCGTGGCCATCCTCCGGGAGGGGCGGGGGTGACTTCTTGCTTTCGGTCTCTCTGTCTCTCCTGTCTTTCTGGCGAGAGCATACACCCTATAGCAAAAACTTCTCAAAAAAAAAAAAAAAATGAATGAGGGACCTGCAGGTGGTATGGTGGTTAAAGGCGCTGGACTCCCACATGGCCAACTGTGGTTTGAGTCCTGGGTTCGAGTCCTGGACCTGGTGACTTGCTTTCTCACTTTCCCTCTCTCACTCTGTCTCTCTCTGATTAAATAAAATTAAAAATTTTAAAAAAGAATTAAATAAGCTTGGAAGTCTGATGACTTTGTACTGCATCCAGACCTGTGGAAACAGACATGGGAACTAGTTCCAGAACAAAAGCACAGAGGTGGTAGCCACTGAGAAGTTTGAAGCAGAACTGCCCTGAGGAATAGTGGGCAAAGGGAAGGAGACCAGTGAGGTTACCGAGGGAAGCTTGTCACCCATTTGTCTGGAGACCCACCTGTGGTTCCAGAAAATTACCATACTGAAAAGAACTAAATTCTCTATCAATATTTTATCTTAGGGATCTGGAAACTGTTCCCTGTGGTTTGGAACTGGGAGCAGTCGTTGGCGTCAGGCACTAAAATGAAAGAACCACCCCCGTTAGACGGTGACTGTGACAGAGCCACCATGGCCCCACCGCTGGAGCAGCTAGGCGAAGTAAAGGCAGAACCCGACGATGCGCACGTAAATATTTCACCTTGTTCCCTTTTTTCCTACAGAGGCGTTTAATTATAAATTTTAATCCTGAGAGTACTACTTTACTGGTTGAAAACAATTCTTACCTTCCTGCAAGTTGATCAGATACTGCTAGGTGTATGGTGTTGAGTGCCATAACAAGCATATAAGGACATGAGAGAAGAGGAGACTGGCGTTGGGCTTGGGAGAGTTGAAAGCATTGTTTAGGGTGTTAGGCGCCTAGCGCAGGTTAACACATTTTGGGTTTTGTTTTACCTCGAAACTACAAATAATTAATTTACCTTTTCAGCTATTGCCTCTATTGAGTACTAGAATGAACATATTTTGAATTTGTAGAACTTAAGTTTTTTGTCCAGATTAGTCTTTCTTTAAGGCAGGGGTGGGCAGCAGATGGTGTAGCAGTTTCCTCGCTGGAGTCCCACAAAGCTGTCTGCACTTCAAGTCCTGGACCTGATAACTTGAAAATCACACGCATGCCCAAAATCCCTGGAGGAGAAGGGATTACGGTGTGGCCATCCCTCACTTTCCCTCTCACTGTCTTTGTCTCTCTCTGGTGAACACACAGGGCATAGGGTAAAAACCTCATAAAAACTATTTATTTATCTATCTGCCTACCTACTTACCTACCTATCCACTTGTGATTTTAAGCTGCCAGGTCTGAGACTTGAACCATGGTCAACCATGTGAGAATCTGGAGTCTTAACCACCATGCCACCTGTTGTCCCCAAAATTAATCTTATGTTTACATTTTTTTAAATACTGTTTTAGACGTATTATATGCTGGAGGGCCTATGAAGGATAAACTGACTCAAGCTGTGAATATTCTGTATGTAGGGCCAGATTTCCTTAGAATGTGCGTATGTGACCCAAAAGAAATTTCTCTGATTTCCAGAAAGTAAATCAAATTCCATTTTAATTTATGTCTAGTATTGTTTTGAAATAGCCTAAAGTGGGTTAGTATTGGATAAGGTTATAATTGTGCTGAGCTGGTGACGCTGGGGTATGTTCCCCATCTAGAAACATCTATTGCTTCTCTAACCACGCACATGCAGACATGGGTCAGGTTTAGATACGGTGGCCATGAAATCGCCTGCTGCTCTGAAAATCTCCCTCAAATAATCATTCCGGAGACTAGCGAATGGCGTAACTGTTCTGTGGCTGGACTTCCACGTAGTCAACCGTGGTTCGGACCCGGCAGCTTAAAACTCACACCAGGCATGTGTGCGTGCATACCCAAAATGCTGAGAGGAGAGTGGAGGCGAAGGGATGGAGATGTGACCATTCCCCCACCCCTGTCCTGGGGGTGATTTCTCGCTTTCTGTCCCCCTCTGTCTCTCTGGCAAGCATACCCTAAAGCAAAAATCTCTTTCTAAAAAAAAAAAAAATCATTCAGCCTAACCTAACCATTTCTGGCTTCACCGTCTTCATGAGGACAGCAGGTTGATAACAGCTCAAGTAAGGAAAATAGTTGTCACTGAACATATTTGCTGCCTGTTGGTAATGGCTATTGAAAGACTCTGTTGGAGCCAGCAGGTGGCGTGGGGGTTAAGGGCATTGGACTCCCACATGGCTGACTGCAGTTCAAGACCCGGACCACCAGGAGACTTGCTCCCTTTCCCTCTCTCTCACTCTGTCCTTCTCTGGTCAAATATAAATAAATACATAAAGTCAAATAAAATAATTCTTTAAAAAGAAAGACTGTTGGGACCAGCAGTTAGCATAATGGCTGTGTCACTGGAATCCCACGTAGTCAACCGCAGTTCGCGTCCTAGACCCGGTGGCTTAAATCTCACGCTGGGTGCGTGTGCATGCGTGCCCAAGATCCCGAGAGGAGAATGGAGGAGAGGGGATTGCGGCGTGGCCATCCCCCCTGGGGGGTGATTTCTCGCTTTCTGTCTCTCTGTCTGGCGAGCGCACGCGCCCTATAGCAAAAACCTCTCCCAAAAAAAGAAGAAAAGAAAAAAGAAAGACTATTGACAAAGGTCCAAAATCATGCCTGGTACCATGGAAAATGATATATCGAGTCCACAGTGGTGTACGCCGAGGTATAGCAGACGGAGTGCTTAGCTTTGTGCTTCAGTTCAGCCGTATCAGTCCTTGAGCAGACTTGCCCATAATTCGCCATTTCCTGTTGAATGTTGTCTTAAACATATTTACATTTATTATTTTCAACTCTTTTTTAGGAATATCATCAAGTCCAGCAGCCCAAAAGTCAGGAGAATGAGCTGAAAATAAACACTACATTTTCAGACAGTGGTAATAGAATTATTTAAGTTAATCATCTTTCTTCTGGCCAATACAATAGCCAATTTTTTTCTGTTTTGTAAAAATGCCTTTGACTTGCACTGTTTATATGGGGTTCCAAGTCCAGGGGAAGTAACTTTTAAAAGCAAATGAAAGAATACATACTTACTTTTATGTAAATACTAATTTTTTTCCCTCTCTTTTTTTGTTTTTATAGCTGCACAGTTGACTGCAGGCATTCAGCTTTCCTTGGCATCATCCCGCATGAATAAGATGCTTCCTTCAGTTTCAACCACTGCTATTCAGGTTTCCTGTTCTGGTTGTAAAAAAACCCTCCAGCAGGGGCAGACTGCTTATCAGCGGAAGGGGTCTGCTCAGCTGTTCTGCTCCACGCCGTGTGTCACTGAGTACCTCTCATCTGCCAGCTCTCCAGCTGCTGCCAGGAGAACTTGCTCCAACTGCTCTAAGTATAACTCGAGCTTACGCCCCCTTTTACCTCCCTACATAAATCTTGACCACAGTCGTGGCTGTAATATTTTTACATTTTCATTTTTTCTCAAGACCTGTTGCCTTGGTTTAGTGAAAAGAAACTACTTCTGCTTTCAGTTCCTCTAGTAGATTCTTCAGAAATTATTTTGAGGTTTGCAGAAATTAACATGTGAGGAGTTCTTTTTCTCTTCAACTTTATATAATGTGACTTTTAACTTTATCTTCCTACTCTTTTTTCTTTTGTAATAATTATTTTTATTTACCTTTCTTTATTTATTTTAATTTGACCAGAGAGGGACAGAACAGAACAAGAGAGAGAAAGGGAAAGTGAGAAAGCAAGCTGCCAGGTCTGGGGCTCAAACTGCGTAGGCCATGTGGGAGTCCAGTGTCCTTAACCACCACGCCACCTGCCATCCCCTCTACTCTTTTCTTTGAAATGTTCTGAGTGGGATTACTGCATGGCCATTTTGTTGTTATGTAACTGTATAGAGGTATCCTATTAAGATAGGAATCACATAACAGTTATTTGGGGTTTCTTATTTGTAGAATAATATTGTGTTTCTACTTTTTTTATAGAATTACTTTATTTTATTTCTTTATTATTATTTTTTTTTAATTTGACCAGAGAGGGATAGAGTGAGAGAGAGTGGGGAGAGAAGAGGAGAGTGAGAAAGGAAGCTGCCAGGTCCAGGACTTAAACTGTGGTCAGCCATGTGGGAGTCCAGCATTTGGCTTTGAGATTCCTAAGGTAATAAGCTTTTGGGGTTTTAGTAGTCATTAAATGCTAATGCTAAATTTTAACTATTCTTTTTTTTTATTATTTTTATTTTATTTTATTATTTTTTTGGAGAGATTTTCACTGTAGGGCACGTGCACTCGCCAGACAGAGAGAGACATAGAGACAGAAAGCGAGAAATCACCCCCAGGGAGGATGGTCACGCCGCAATCCTTTCTCCTCCATTCTCCTCTTGGGATCTTGGGCACGCACGCACGCACACGCGCCCGGCGTGAGTTTTAAGCCACCGGGTCCGGGACACGAACCGCGGTTGACTATGTGGGAGTCCAGCGACATAGCCATTACGCTAACTGCTGGTTCCCAATTTTAACTATTCTTGAGAACAATTCACATTCACTACTCTCTTGTATTACCATAGAGTGCTCAAAAATTTTTGTTAATTTTGAGTTATTTTGAAGATTTCCTTTATAGAAATGATTTAATATCTGTTTTTGAGTTAATGCGGTTTTCATCCTATTTCATGAATCAAATGAAAGATAGCTTGGAAGATGACATTTTAAAACTTAGTAGAAAGATGTGACTTGTTCTTTCATTTTTTTAAAATTATTTTATTTAACTATATTTATTTTTAAATTTGACTAGAGAGGGACAGAGTGAGAGAGAGAGAGAGAACAAGAGAGAGAAAACAAGAAAGCAGCCGCCAGGTCCAGGACTTGAACTGTGGTCGACCATGTGGGAGTCCAGCATCCTTAACCACCACCACCACCTGCTGGCCCATGACTAGTTCTTAAGAACTGTATTGATAAGAAATGTCATTTCTGCACTTCAGTTAGTATCCTAAATTTGCTTCTAAGTACACTCAGTTTCTTTCAGTTTCTTTCAAGGAATGTCTTATTTTGGAATCAGGTCGCCATCATTGGAATTTTGCTCACGTATGTCACGTTTTCTTATTCAAAGTGTGATCCCCAGTCAGCATGCAGCGTCCACTGAGAGCATGTTCTGGGTACGGTTCTCAGGTCTCATTCAGACCTAATCAGAGTTGCATTACCCCTTAGGGATCCATGTGCGTGCTGAAGTTTGAGTCACTGCAAACTTGTTTCTTAGTATTCCCTTCCTTTCCATTAAATGTACGTAAGAATTGTGAGCATGAAGTCATAGTTTAAGTGATCAAAATAATACTAGCATCTAATCACTCAATAAATGTAAACCATCCCTATTATTCTCTTAGCAAATTCACAGACCCGTGTTCTGGCTACTGTAACCCCTCGTTCGCTGCTGCAGGGTTACCCATCGCTTCGAGTCTTACTCTCCCTGGGACTTGACTCGCCTTTTTCTTGCCTTTTCAGCCCTTCAACACTATACTGTCTTTTGTGTTTTTTTCTTTGGTGCTTCGGCTATATGGCATGCTCTCTGACCTGCTTTCTCTCTGCAGAGTCATTAAACTGGAAAGGACCTTAGCGCTCATCATTCCCAAGCTTTCCTTTGGGTTTTGAGGAAACTGAGGCCCTCGGAAGTTAAGGTATCACGAGGCTCTGCTTGGAGTTTCCTTGCTGCACGTCTTCAGCAGATGTCCCAGACAGAGTGAAAAGGCTGGAGCAGGAAAGACTTAGTGTGTAAGTTGTTCTCTAAGGCATAGAAATCAAGAGAAAAAACATGAGACAGGCTTTCCTTCCTCTGGAATAAACACAATTTTTGATAAACAATACTATTTTATGGATGGTTGGAAAGATGGGAGTAACACTTAGGCTGGGAGAGGCCATCCATTGTTCAGAGTGACCTCTTCTTTTTTTCAGAACTTTAAGTTTTCACATTCACTAGCCTCTTATACTACCATAGAGTTCTCAGAATTTTAGCTAATTTTGAGTTATTTTGAAAGTTTCTTTTATAGTAATGATTTTACTTGTTTTGATTTAATGCAGTTTTTATCCTATTTCATGAACCAAATGAAAGCTTGGAAGGTGACTTTTTAAAAAAAAAAAAAGAAATAGAGTTTTATTTGTTTATTTAATTCCATTTGTTATTATCTTTATTTTTTAATTTGACTAAAGGGAGAAAACTAGCTACCAGGTCCAGGACTCAAACCGTAGTTGGCCATGTGGGAATCCAGCGCCTTTAACCACCATGCCACCTGCCAGCCCCTGGAAGGTGAAATTTTAAAACTTACTAAAATGTTTGACTTGAGAACTGCATAGCTAAGAAATGCCATTTCGGCACTTCACAGTATTGTAGTCATTACCAATCAGAAATCATAAAAGCAGACAGTCCCGAAAGGGTCTGTAATAGACCCATGCACTAACGCTTGATTTATTTGTAAGAAATGTGTTTAGGCCTGTGCTCAGAGGTTTTTTTAAGCTAATTTTAGACACCTGTAAAATATTTATTTTTTACTTTTGGATTAAGACTAGTAGATTAGAAACCAGCAACCTAGTATACTTATAGCAAAAAAAATTAAAAAGCTAGTAAGCACTTTCAGATTCCCATGCTTCTGCCGCAAGAGATTCTTCTGCCTCCCTTCTTGTGCTCCTTTCTTTTTAAAGGTGTGCCTCAAATATCTTCACCCTGTTTAGGCCCACACCATTCCACATTCTACTCTTGTCACCACCACCCCACATTAATTCTTCAGTGGTCTGTGTTTTTATAGTGTGTTCATAAATCCCAAAGTGTTGACATAACTCCAGGCCCAAAACTGCCTGGCACAAAGTGAATTCTAGAAGTTTCTGTCAAATAAAGTATGAAGATAGTACTGCAGCGAGAGTTCTATTTTAAGTAACGCGACTTGCGATGTAATAATGAAACACAGCTGTTACTTCTGGTATTATATCTTTAAAAAGATAGAAAGTCATAGTACACTAAAGTGTTGAAAGTGTTAAAGTAGGGCGCATTACCGGAGTCATTTTATATTCTGAATAGAACTGATACTCTGGGGATTCTAGGTAGCCACGAATCTTGGTATATCCTGTAGCCGCAGTTCTCAAACTTTATGGTCTTAGAACCCCTTTGTACTTTTTTTTAAAAAAGAATTATATCTATTTAATTCCTTTTTTTTTTTTTTTGAGAGGTTTTCGCTATAGGGCACGTGCGCTCGCCAGACAGACAGAGAGAGACAGAGAGACAGAAAGCGAGAAATCACCCTCCAAGGGAGATGGTCATGCCACAATCCCTTCTCCTCCATTCTCCTCTCAGGATCTTGGGCACGCACGCGCACGCACCCAGAGTGAGTTTTAAGCCACCAGGTCCAGGACGCGAACCACGGTCGACTACGTGGGAGTCCAGCGACATAGCCATTACACTAACTGCTGGTTCCCCATTTGTTATTATTTTTAATTTGACCAGAGACAGAGAGAAAGGGAAGGGGAGAAAGAAGCCACCAAGTCCGGTACTTGAACTGTGGTCTGCCGTATGGGACCCAGCGCCTTTATTTACCACACCACCATCTGGCCTCCCTCCTTGGAGCTTTTAAAACATACTGAAGACCCCAAGAGCTTTGGTTACTTAGATTATATCTATTAATATTTGCTATATTAAAAATTGGGAACCAGCAGTTAGCATAATGGCTATGTCGCTGGATTCCCATGTAGTCGACCGCGGTTCGTGTCCCGGACCCGGTGGCTTAAAACTCACGCTGGGCGCATGTGCGCACGTGCCCGCCCCAGACCCCGAGAGGAAAACGGAGGAGAAGGGATTGCGGCGTGGCCATCCCCCGTGGGGGGTGATTTCTCGCTTTCTGTCTCTCTGTCTCTGTCTGTCTGGCGAGCGCACGCGCCCTATAGCAAAAACCTCTCCCCCCCAAAAAAAAAAAATTACACGGCCAGCAGATGGCATAGGGGTTACAACGCTGGATTCCTGCATGGCCAACTGCAGTTTGAATCTTGGACCCGGTGGCTTGAACTTCATGCTGGGCACATGTGCATGTATACCACTATTCCAGGAAGAGGATAGAGAAGGGATTATAGTGTCGCCGTCCTCCCTGGGGGTGATTTCCCACTTTCACTCTCACTGTCTCTGTCTCTCTCTTTCTCTCCCTGGTGAGCGTATGTGCCCGAAGGCAAAAACTAGAAAACAAAACTCTTAAAAAATAATTAAATAGAGGCCAGGAGGTGGTGTGGTGGTTAAGGCACTAGATTCCCACGTAGCCAACCTCTGTTTGAGTCCCTGACCTGGCAGCTTGGAAATCACACTGCGGGTGCCAGTGCAGTGGTTGGGGTGCTGGACTCCTACATGGCTAACCATGGTTCAAGTCCTGAACTGGCAGCTTGCTTTCTCACTTTCCCTTTTTCTCCCTCTCTCTCTCTGTCTCTCTCGATCAAATTAAAAATAATAATCATAACAACAAATAAAATAAATAATTCTTTAAAAATATTGAAGGAATAAAAAAGATCACACTATGTGTTGCTCCCACCGCCCTGGTCCCTAGTGGAGGGCAGGCTGGGCATACGGAGCGGAGCAGATGGAGCCAACCCTGTGGCTGACTGGGCATGGAAAGCCCTGGGGAGGGTGCCTCAGGGAGGCCCAGGTACTGCCCTTTGTTGTCGGCCAGGCCGAGATTTCTGCCACTGGCCAGCAGCCTGCACCCCTGTACCACCACGTCTCAGACAGACTGGAGCTGATGCTGCCGAGAAGCTGAGGCCGCTGTACAGCTACCCGCAGGTCCCAGGACAGGTTTTTCCTGGACTCCAATTATGAAATGGGGCTTGGTGTATGCCAGCCTGGCTGACATTGCAGACCCGCGGAAAAACGCAGCATGGCCCAGTCCACTGTCCTGATGGCCACAGGGCTTATTTGTTCGGGGTACTCACCTGTAGTTATTCCAAGAAATCAGAGTCTTTGCTGCTCATTATTTTGTGGGAGCTGCAGGAGCCTCTTAGCTCTTTCACATTTGGAGATACAACCAAGAACTAAAAGCTCCAGCAAACAAGTAAGAGCGTTCCTGATCACCTGAACAGCTACACGTGGCTCTCCCACTGGGGCCTACTGACAGTTTATCATGGTTATCGATTAGGCAGTGCTAACTGTGCTATTGTCTAGAAAGCACAGAGACCCTCCCAACTGTGACTGGTAGCTAGTGCTTGATTCAGCAGAAAAATAAAGCAAACTTTTAATAAGCATTTCTCTTTACATATGACTTGGAGAACTAAACCTGTGAATGTTAAAAACTTCTATTATTTGTCCCTAATAAATCATACTTGCTCATCCATTAAAGAAAGAAAGAAACAAAGGTTTTGTGCCCAAAATTGCAAAGGGAGAATGGAGGAAAAGGTATTGTGGCCTGGCCATCCCTCCTGGGGGGTGATTTCTCACTATCTCTGTCTCTTTCAGAAAGTGCATGCACCTGGGACCAGCAGTTAGTGTAATGGTTATGTCGCTGGTCTTCCATGTAGTCGACCACAGTTCAAGTCCCAGACCCGGTGGCTTAAACTCATGCCAGGCATGTGTGTGTGTGCCCAAGATCCCGAGAGGAGAATGGAGGAGAAGGGATTGCAGCGTGGCCATCCCCCCTGGGGGGTGATTTCTCACTTTCTGTCTGTCTCTCTCTTTCTGGCGAGTGCACGCGCCCTACAGCAAAACCCTCTCCAAAAACAGAAAAGGAGAAAAGAAAGAAAGTGCACCATGTGACAAAAATTAATGAATTAATTAATAATTTTTCATTGAAAAAAATTTTTTTAGTTTTATTTATTTATTTAAATTTGATGATTGAGAGAGAAAGCCGCCAGATCCAGGACTCAAACAGTGGTTGGCTATATAGGAATCCAGCACCCTTAACCACCATGCCACCTGCCAGCCCCAAAAAGCAGTCATTTTAAAAAATTTAATGAGGAGTGACATTGTTTTAGTAGTTCTCCAAGCCACTTTTTATGTCTTGCTGATTTTTCATATTGATGCTCAGTTTATTACAAAGTATGTTTTGGTTGTAGTCTGTGAGGAAAATCTGGCCTCACAAATAGGTGGTTTAAAAAAGGGTAGAATATTTTGATAGCTTTTCAAATAATGTGGACATTGTTACTACACCAAAAATTAGGTGGTAATTTCTTTTTTTAAAGAATTATTGGGACCAGCACGTGGCATGGTGGTTGAGGTGCTGGACACTCCTACATGGCTGACTGCGGTTCAAATACCGGACCTGGTGGCTTGCTTTCTCACTTTCCCACTCTCTCTCTCTCTCTCTCTGTGTCTCTCTCTGATCAAATTAAAATAAATGAATGAATAAATAAAATTAAATAAATAATTATTTTTTAAAAAGGAATTATTTACTTATATTTATTATTGCTATTATTTTTAAAATTTGACCAGAGAGAGAAAAAGGGAAAGTGAGAAAGCAAGCTGGCAGGGCTGGGACTCAAACTGTGGTCAGCTGTGTGGGAGTCCAGCACCTTAACCACCGTGCCACCTGCTGGTCTCCTAGATAGTCATTTTCTTTTTTAAATTTTATTTTATTTTTTAAATTGACCAGATGAGAGACAGAGAAAGCGGGAAAGTAAGAAAGCAAAGCACCACATCTACGATTCCAACCATGGCCACTCACATGGCAGTCCAGTGTCTTAATTAGCCCATACACCACCTGCTAGCTCAATTTCTTTTCTTTTTTTTTTTTTTTAGGAATTATTTATTTTTTATCATTATTATTTCACATGAGTTTTGCCAGAAAAAGAGAGAGAGAAAGCAAGCCGCTAGATCCAGGACTTGAACTATAGTCAGCCATGTGGGAATTCCAGTGCTTTGATCACCATACCACCTGCTGGCTCCCCAGTCTCTATTTCTTAAAGATTTATTGCAGTGTGGAATATAAAGCCATGTTAGTGAACTTTTTATGTTCTCTACCTTAAAACTCATTGGTCCACCTTGCATGTAACTGGATCCTCTACCCTCAGACAGAACCTGTAACATTACCCATGTATCTTCCTTTGGTAAACATGGGTGCACTGAGTTCTGCGGGTTTCCAGATAATGACATAGACCCACCCCATCATGCACAATTTAAAAATCACCACCATTCTCATCAAAAGAGTCAAGTGTTGGGAAATGATCAAGCTAGAGTTGGCAGATAAAATATTTCCAAAATCCAATTTTCACATGAGAGGTTGAATTGTAGCATTGGCAATAAATACTGTCAGTTGTTCTTGAAGTAGCAGTCTTACTTCACTCATTTTCAGCAGCATATCTGCCAGATACCCACTTCTGGATAGCCGTTTGTCTTATAGCTGTATGTTCAAGTAAAAATGTGTTCCAGGAGGAAAGTGGCTAATTCAGGTTGTAGCTCTTCACACTCATCTGAGCTTTTCCTGAGACAGCCGCATGGCTATATCCTATTTTGTCACACCGAATATTAAAAAGATGTGTTCAAAAATCAAGTTTAAATAGGTGTTTAGATGTTTCATTAAGGATATCCTTAATTGAAATGGACACTTCTTACGTGATTAACATTAGTACATGGGGCCAGCCAGTGCTATGGCGATTGAGGCGCCACACTCCCACACGGCTGGCTATTGTTTGAGTCCCAGCCCTGGTGGTTTTTTTCCCTCACTTTCCCTGTATCTCTGGTCAAATTTTAAAAATAATAAATAAGTAATTTTTTTCTTTTTTAAAGATAATTGTTTAATTTAATTTATTTATTTAAATTTGACTTGAGAAGGACAGAGTGAGAGAGGGGGGAAGTGAGAAAGTGAGCCACTAGGTCTGAAAGTTGAACTGTGGTCGACCATATAGGAGTCCACGCCACCTGCTGGCCTCAAATTTTTCTTTTTTTTTTTTTAAGAGATTTTTTTGCCTTTATGTGTGTGTGTGCTCATGGGAGAGAGACAGAGACAGAGAGAAAGTGAGGAATTACCCCCCCCCAAAGGGGAATGGCCATAATCCCTTCTGTTCTCCTCCCGGGATCTTGGGGTACACACACGCATATGATTTTGAAGCCACCAGGTCCAGGACCTGAACCATGTTTGACCATGTGGGAGGTCTAGCAGTGTAACCACTATGCCATCTTCTGGCCCCAATAAGTAAGATTTAAAAAAAATGTTATTAGTACAATTTGGTGCCACTGCCTTGAATTGTTCTTAGACTCGAGCAATTTTACATACTGTTGCGTTTTACTTTTTTATTATTGAAGCAAAATTCATATAACAAAACTAACCATTTCATTGGCGTTTAATATGTTCACAGTGTTATGTAGCTGTTACCTCTGTCAGGTTCCAAGTTCCAAGTGCAATGCTTTATGCATTAAGTAGTTTCCCTGTATCCCCACCCTGCCCCTGTCAGCTACTAATCTGCATTCTCTCTATGGATTTATCTGTTCTGAATCTTTCATGTAAATGGAATCACAGTATGGCTTTTTGTATCTGGCTTCTTTCCCTTAGCATATTTTCTATTTTTTTTTAAATCTGCAAGAGGGCATGTGGGGATACAGGGAGAGAGAGAGAGAGAGAGAGAGGGAAATCCATGACTCCAATTCACGCCATAGTCCCTTAGGTGTTTGCACACTCGCTCAGCATGCTTTTCAAGCCCGAGTTGGGGCCATAAGCCTTGCAGTCAGCCATGCGGGGTCCAGCCACTTCAGCCCCCTCTTCACAGTGGCCCTAGCGTAAGTTTGAGGTCTGTGTGCAGCCGCGTGTATCCATACTCTATTCTATGTAGTTGAGTAGTGCTCCACTGTGTGTGTGACCACTTGTGTACGCTTTCATTCCCTGAAGGGTATTTGGCTGTTTCCATTCTTTGGCTGTTAGGGATGACGCTGTTAGGAACATGCACGTCCATGTACTTGTCTGCTTGTTTTCAGGTCTTTGGGTGTATTCTAGGAGTGGCAATGTGGGATCCAACCATTGCCTTTGTACCACCAGCTCAAATGTCAACACAGTGAAATAACATCTTAATGTAATTACAAAAATAGTTTCGGTTTTGTGGACCCCCTGAAAGTATCTGGGAAACCCCCTTCCCAGGGATTTGAGACCGTCCGTTGAGATCCCACATATTCTGTAGTTGCTAAGGTCTGAGCTCTGCTTTCATCCTCGCTATTGTCACTAGCACCAGCTACTGGGGGGGGGGGCGGTGTGGTCGTTCTGAAACCCGCGCCATCACGTGTGTGTGTGATTCCTACCTCACAAACGAGGAGGTCAGTTTAGGGAGTGTAAATGCTTTACCCAATTTGCTTAATGAAAGTGATCAAACTGGGTACTAAATTTAGATTTTCTCATTTCAAGACTAATACTGTCATGATTCTTCAGGAAAATGAAATGGGAAATTATTTGATGGTGTCATTAAGAGGTTCATGGAAAAAAATTATACTTGTGGTAAAAAGTGTCTAATGTCTGTTATTTATTCTTAGAGACATTTTAAATTCAAAGGATATGATCAGTGTCCCACTGGAAGATGCCACCACTAGCAAGAATTTTTGTAACCAGTCTTGTCTTTCATCATATGAAGAAAAAAGAAAGCCGCTTGTCACCGTATGCACTAATGGCATTTTGACGACGTGCAGCGTGTGTCAGAAGACCGCTATTGTGAGTTGCCATTTTTCCCCAACCTTAAGGGTATTCCACCTAAATATCAGCTTTTACTGAATCTTTTTTTTTAAATCCTAGATTCAGTATGAAATAAAATATAAGAACATGAAGCATAGTTTTTGCAGTAATGCCTGCTTTTCAAAGTTCCACTCTGCTAACGGCCTAATCATGAACTGCTGCGGCAACTGTGGCACCTACTGTTACACCAGCTCCAGCGTCTTCCACGTCCTGCAGACAGGAGGGCAGCCTCAGCTCTCCACCAGTGCAAAGACCCTGACAGCGTGTTCGCAGGTAGGGAGCGAGACCGACTGAGACCGACTGCTCCCTCCATTCTTGGCCTGGCAGTGAGCCCACTCAGCAAATGTGGGGATACAGTTGGTAGTACCTCTAGGAATAATTTCAGTTGGTAGGTTGATAAAGATAAACTAGAGGAGCCAGCAAGTGGCATGGTGTTTAGGGCACTGGACTCCAACATGGCTGATCATGGTTCAAGTCCTGGATCTGGCAGCTTACTTTCCCACTTTCCTTTTCTCTTTGTCTCTGTCTGATCAAATTTAAAAATAATAATTGTAACATGAGACCAGCAGGGGGCGTGGTGGTTAGGGCGCTGGACACTCCCACCTGGCTGATCATGGTTCAAGTCCCGAACCTGGTGGCTTGCTTTCTCATTTCCCCCTGCTCCTCTCTCTGTGTCTCTCTCTAGTCAAATTAAAATAAATAAATGAATAAATAAAATTAAATTAAATAATTCCTTTTTTTTTTTTTG